CTAGGCTCCACCACCTCGTTATCCACCGTCACCCCTGGGTGCTTCTTATGGAGCTCAGAGAGCATCTCTAGGTCAATCTCACCTAAAGGCACAGGCACACTTTTTATTTGGAAGACAAAGTTGACAAACACAAATTTGACCCCAGTTCCCAAACTGCTAAAAAGCCAAGCAGATCAACATCAGTTGAAATGGTGCAGGAAGCAGCTAACAGCATGTTTCAGTTTTGCAGAAAATCACACGTTTTCTGTTGCAGTAATTACAGAAGTGAAAAAAAAAATGTAATTCAACACCATGAGAGACAGTTATCACAGCGATACCTTTTCAGTATCACGTAACCAGGGATTTGGCTCTAATTCTAACTGAAGGTGACAGGTTGCCATGTACAAAGGAGCTCATCTGGACACGTGTTAAATCTTTTAGATTGAATAAAATCTTTCAGGGGAGTTTCCAGTCATTCTAATGTATTTTGCAGCCGAAAAGAGAATCCGTAATGCTCCAATATGATTCTGACATGACAGCTCAGTAAATTAAAAGGATTGGCGGAGACATAACCAAAGGGTAACAGCTCTCTGGGGGCATGTACTGGGTTTGCTCAGGAAAAATATTAACCTTGCTGTATCACGGGCGCTGAAAACAATGTGCAGTAAAGCTATAGAACAGCGAGGTCATGCTATCTGGCCTGGGTTGAAGATTAATCTCACAAACTGGACAGATGTCTACAAACTGCTGGCAGTGATAATAAGGGCAAAGTTTTGTTGTTTTTTTCCTGTTACAACCATAAATGAAAAAACTGCAGCAACAGCAGTAACAGACGGCTTACGCAATGTCTTGTCACTTTCGATGCTGCGCAGGTCGCGCTGCTTTTTAACGCGTCGCATTTAGACCAGTGGTAATAGAATTTTCTTACCAGCTCCACTTCCAACTCCAATGACATCCAGATGTGACTTTCCATCTCCAACGCTGAGGAGAGAGCAGATAAAACACTTCAGAAAGGTTCACATCCTCCAACCTGTGACATGTGGGTCACATTTTTGGGCTTGTAACTGTCAGTTCTCCCTGACACTTGGGCATGTGAGATGTTCTGAAGTAGCGACTGAAGAATCTACAGATACCCAGGCTTTGATTATTGCTGTGGCATGTTCTGTCACTCACTGTATGATTTTTAATAACACCTTTTTAATTTGCTCATGAGTCACATCTTTCCAGATTCCTCTCTGATCTGCTTTTTAGACCTGCACAGAAGAGGAGAGAGTCTGTTTTTCTGCTGCATGTCAATTGCCTCCTACAGCTTATATCAACAGAAAATAACACAGGAAGAGATGGAATTTCCACAGCAATCAGTCATTGTCTTTTACAATCATGCACATATTGTTTGGCTGGTTAATCTAATACGTACACTTGTGTAGGCAGTTATTTGATTCTGTGAGTGAAACGGTACTTACATATTCCGCTTTGGGCTGTAGTGCAATCCTAATCACTCAGCAATTCTGACTGCTTTCAGCAGTATTAAGCAGAGCACACGTTGACTGATTGACACAGCTTAGTCACTAAATGGTCTGTGTGCTCCAGATCTTCCTTTTCACACTGTATTTTGTCACCTCTCGACATATTCCAAATCGGTCCGACGGTATGAGTGGCTGATGTTTATACAAGAGGCCCAACATTAAAACTAACCACGGGTGAAATGAATAATATTGATCATCTCATTAAACTGTAATTATCTAGGGTCCAGGCATTTATGTGTATGTTTTTTAAACCTATATCACTGCTCTAAACATTGCTCAACTGGTCAGGAATGCCATACAGAACATGACAGACACCCTAAACTGGTTGTCCAGCCTTCAAACTCCCTATTTGCATAATCCATAAGGTGCAACAGAGGAATCCAGTCCAAGAAGGCTCCACAGATTAGCTGTAATTGCTAATTAATTGTAATTGAGCGCAATTGCTCATAGGGCAATCATAGAGATCCATGCACAGAGATGTGTGTAGAGATGCGTCTTTGACACACGGGGTACTTCAACAATATTGTAATTTGATGGTTTTAATGTTGTGGCTCATTCTTAATGATATTTGAAAGGTTTCAAAATGACTTCATAGACTTTGCATAATTAAGTAAAATAAGAAACGGCACACAACAAAATATAAACTTTATAATGCCTGATTGTATTTTTTTCAATTGACTCACCTCTAATAAGATTACAATAAATGGTTGCCACCCAATTCCCACTTACTTTTAACCCTGACTAATGTTGACACGACCATGCATCTAGTCTAAGGAGCTTGGAAAGAAAGCAATTTTCTTCAAAAGAAACTTAAAGAAGTCCAGACTACCGTGGCTTAGATGAAGTCTACCATGACCTAGATGACTGAGAACCTACACAGACATATCAAGTGTTAAAGTTAATTAGCTGTTCTTAAGGGTTTTCCATCCATCGGTCCACTTTCTTTCCCTTATCCAATTTGGGATTGCAGTTTTGGGCTAAATCCAGATCACCCAGAGAGCACCCATGAGGATACAGGGAGAATATACACAATCTACACAACCGGCTGGTGGATTTGAACCCAGGACTTTCTTGCTGTTAGGAGATGATGCTAACCACCACAACACCAGATATAAGTTAATTTTATTCAATTATTTTACCCAATCTGCGCTAATCTACATCTCAAATTACCATAATAAAAAGGAGCTGAGGTTAAAGGTTATTAACGCCTCCTGACTTATGGTACTCTAGTTTATCAGCTTCATTTTTAAATCATATGTTTAATACAGTTAAACCTTACTGTATCAGGTTTTTGAGGCTCGCACCAATGTTTCAGAGTTTTGACAGTAAATGATTGCTTTGATTCTCAGATTCAGCTGTAGTATAATGCATGCCATGTTGAATGGCATGGTCGTGCAGAGTTGCTCAAAGCTGTGTGTGGTAGATTACCTGGCCAGTATATCTGGCAGTTTATTGTGGATGAAGTCCCGCATACACTGGTGTTCAGACGAGCGCTCCAAAAAAAGCTGGAAGGATTTCTGGTATCGGTCATCATCATTAACCAAACTCTTGAGGGAAGATGCCATGGCTCACAATCTGCCAAAAAAGAAAAAAAAAGTATTATTTCAAGTGAGCATTAACATGCTTGCTGTCATATACAATGACCTGCCACGACGTGTTACTCAAACACTGTTAACAATGACACATCTGGATCATTTTTGCTTTTTATCCCTGAAAAATAAGTTTTCTTACATTGAACATCACCTAAGTCAACATCTCCAAAAGCTTTCCTGCATTTATTCTTCACTTCAGCTCCCATTGTACTATCTATAGGAATACTAAAGCTGAGCATGCATCCATGACTACCAGATCTTAACAGTCGTTACAGAACAGCCTGTGTATTTGGAGAAATGGCTTAAAAGTGAGAACACAGATTCTGAGCCACTGCTCTCCGACGGATAGGTTTCTTTTATTTTCCCAACACATCCCACTTTCAGGCAGCAAGAGCTGCTTGATGTTGGGTGACCCCTATTGGCTTGTGATCAGACACTTATGTAAATCTGAAACCAATGACCAATCCAGGAACTAATACAAAGAAGAGAAAAACCTAAATATATGACATGCCACCTACTATAAATGTGAATTTTCTAATTTATACATTTTTTGAGAGACCGTCCTAAAAATACCAGACCATGATATGTTTCTAGTACTTAGGTTTAGCAATAACATTTGACATCATAAATCACTTTCATATGTCCATTTATCTACTTTCTTAAATGCAGCAGATGCTGACATTTCCACTGAGCTCAGCTAACATAGTGATAGTTAATCCAGTCTACCTACACTGTTGGATCAATAACTGGTCAAGGGTCTTAATCAACCCTGAAACAACACAAGTATTGAAACAGACAGCCAACAATAGCCGAAATCATGTTTTAACAACAGTCTGTTGTCAACTTACATGTAACTGAATCAATGTTGAACACTGCTGTTGAGTCCTACTCCCTTTTGCACCACTGATCAATATTAGAACAGCAGTAACATCACTACCAAAGGTCCACAGGACCATAGTGGTATTTCAGCTAGTATTTAATACAGCACACTACAAGGAATACTTCAAAATATTAGCACAATTATAACATTTATCCTGGCTATTAGGGGTGGGGGAAAAAATCGATACTGTGTAGTATCGTGATATTTTGTTTGCTAATAATGTATCGATACAGGGACAGCAGAAATCGATATTTTGTTACAAA